CACAATAGTCTTCAACAATCAGAAACATCAAAACGACCCCACGATGCCCTTTCCCGTGTTCAGACCCCCGGGCCAAGGCACTCCACGCAAGCAACTGTGCTTTCAAAAACACGAGGCAACCCAGTCAGCCAGGCACACGGCGAGCAGGGACAGCAGGCAAAGCGAGAGAAAACAGTGGAGATTTCACACGTTCAAACTACTTTCGCTTGAACGGGTTCTTGTTGTTGTTGTTGTTGTTGTTGTTGGTTTCTCGTGTTTTTCTTTCTTGATTTTTTTTTTTTTTTCTTCTAGTTCTTCTTTACGTAAGGTGTGTTTTCTTTCTTCTTTTCTTCTTCTTCTCTTTCTTCTTCTTCTTTACGTAAGGTGTGAAGGTTTTTTTTTCGTTTTGTGTATGTGTGTGTGTTGTTTCTTACTTTTATTTTATTCTTCTTTTTCTCCTTCTTCTTTGCGGTAAGGTGTGAAGGATATTTTTTCGTTTTGTATGTGTTGTGTGTTTTGTTTCTTTTACTTTTTACTTCCCATTCATCTACCAATCAAAATTCTTCCCTACGCATGATAGACACCAGAATCCCCTCAAGCACTGCTCATGACCCCATGAAACCAACATCGCGAACCCACAATAGTCTTCAACAATCAGAAACATCAAAACGACCCCACGATGCCCTTTCCCGTGTTTCAGACCCCGGGCCAAGGCACTCCACGCAAGCAACTGTGCTTTCAAAACACGAGGCAACCCGTCAGCCAGGCACACGGCAAGCAGGGACAGCAGGCAAAGCGAGAGAAAACAGTGGAGATTTCACACACTCAAGAATTTCTCTCGCTTGAACGGGTTCTTGTTGTTGTTGTTGTTTTTTTTCGTGTTTCTTTCTTGATTTTTGTTATTTGTCTTCTAGTTCTTCTTTACGTAAGGTGTGTTTTCTTTCTTTCTTTTTTCTTCTTCTTCTTCTTCTATACGTAAGGTGAGGTTTTTTTCGTTTTGTGTGTGTGTGTGGTGTTTTTGTTTCTTACTTTTATTTTATTCTTCTTTTTCTCCTTCTTTGCGTAGGTGTGAAGGTTTTTTTTTTTTTTCGTTTTGTATGTGTGTGTGTTTTTGTTTCTTTTACTTTTACTTCCATTCATTCTACTACCAATCAAAATTCTTTCTTATTCATGACACCAGAATCCCCTCAGGCACTACTCATGACCCCATGAAACCAACATCGCGAACCCACAATAGTCTTCAACAATCAGAAACATCAAAACGACCCCACGATGCCCTTTCCCGTGTTCAGACCCCGGGCCAAGGCACTCCACGCAAGCAACTGTGCTTTCAAAACACGAGGCAACCCAGTCAGCCAGGCACACGGCAAGCAGGGACAGCAGGCAAAGCGAGAGAAAACAGTGGAGATTTCACACGTTCAAGAACTTCTCTCGCTTGAACGGGTTCTTGTTGTTGTTGTTGTTGTTTTTTTCGTGTTTTCTTTTTCTTGGTTTTTTGTTATTGTCTTCTAGTTCTTCTTTACGTAAGGTGTGTTTTCTTTCTTTCTTTTTTCTTCTTCTTCTTCTTCTCTTTGCGTAAGGTGTGAAGGGTTTTTTTTTCGTTTTGTATGTGTGTGTGTGTTTTGTTTCTTTTACTTTTACTTCCCATTCATCTACCAATCAAAAATTCTTTCCTACGCATGATAGACACCAGAATCCCCTCAAGCACTACTCATGACCCCATGAAACCAACATCGCGAACCCACAATAGTCTTCAACAATCAGAAACATCAAAACGACCCCACGATGCCCTTTCCCGTGTTCAGACCCCGGGCCAAGGCACTCCACGCAAGCAACTGTGCTTTCAAAACACGAGGTAACCCAGTCAGCCAGGCACACGGCAAGCAGGGACAGCAGGCAAAGCGAGAGAAAACAGTGGAGATTTCACACGTTCAAGAACTTCTCTCGCTTGAACGGGTTCTTGTTGTTGTTGTTGTTGTTGTTTTTCTCGTGTTTTCTTTCTTGATTTTTGTTATTGTCTTCTAGTTCTTCTTTACGTAAGGTGTGTTTTCTTTCTTTCTTTTTTTCTTTCTTCTTCTTCTTCTTCTCCTTCTTCTTTACGTAAGGTGTGAAAGGTTTTTTTGTTTTGTGTGTGTGTGTTTTTTGTTTCTTACTTTTATTTATTCTTCTTTTTCTCCAGTCTCCTTCTTTGCGTAAGGTGTGAAGGTGTTTTTTTTCGTTTTGTATGTGTGTGTGTGTTTTGTTTCTTTTACTTTTACTTCCCATTCATCTACCAATCAAAATTCTCTCCTATACATGATAGACACCAGAATCCCCTCAAGCACTACTCATGACCCCATGAAACCAACATCGCGAGCCCACAATAGTCTTCAACAATCAGAAACATCAAAACGACCCCACGATGCCCTTTCCCGTGTTCAGACCCGGGCCAAGGCACTCCACGCAAGCAACTGTGCTTTCAAAACACGAGGCAACCCGGTCAGCCAGGCACACGGCAAGCAGGGACAGCAGGCAAAGCGAGAGAAAACAGTGGAGATTTCACACACTCAAGAACTTCTCTCGCTTGAACGGGTTCTTGTTGTTGTTGTTGTTTTTTTTTTTTTTCGTGTTTTCTTTCTTGATTTTTGTTATTGTTTTCTAGTTCTTCTTTACGTAAGGTGTGTTTTTTCTTTCTTTTTTTTTTTTCTTCTTCTTCTTTACGGAAGGTTGAAGGGTTTTTTGTTTTGTTTTGTGTGTGTGTGTGTGTGTGTGTGTGTGTTTTGTTTCTTACTTTTATTTTATTCTTCTTTTCTCTCTTTCTTCTTTGCGTAAGGTGTGAAGTTTTTTTTTTTTTTTCGTTTTGTATGTGTGTGTTTTGTTTCTTTTACTTTACTTCCCATTCATCAACCAATCAAAATTCTTCCTACGCATGATAGACACCAGAATCCCCCCAGGCACTACTCATGACCCCATGAAACCAAACATCGCGACCCCACAATAGTCTTCAACAATCAGAAACATCAAAACGACCCACGATGCCCTTTCCCGTGTTCAGACCCCGGGCCAAGGCACTCCACGCAAGCAACTGTGCTTTCAAAACACGAGGCAACCCAGTCAGCCAGGCACACGGCGAGCAGGGACAGCAGGCAAAGCGAGAGAAAACAGTGGAGATTTCACACGTTCAAGAACTACTTTCGCTTGAACGGGTTCTTGTTGTTGTTGTTGTTGTTGTTTTTTTTCTCGGTTTTCTTTCTTGATTTTTTTATTGTTGTCTTCTAGTTCTTCTTTACGTAAGGTGTGTTTTCTTTCTTTCTTTCTTCTTCTTCTTCTTCATCTTCTTTACGTAAGGTGTGAAGGTTTTTTTGTTTTGTTTTGTGTGTGTGTGTGTGTGTTTTGTTTCTTACTTTTTATTTTATTCTTCTTTTTCTCCTTCTTCTTTGCGTAAGGTGTGAAGGTTTTTTTTTCGTTTCGTATGTGTGTGTGTGTTTTGTTTCTTTTACTTTTACTTCCCATTCATCTACCAATCAACATTCTTTCCTACGCATGATAGACACCAGAATCCCCTCAAGCACTACTCATGACCCCATGAAACCAACATCGCGAACCCACAATAGTCTTCAACAATCAGAAACATCAAAACGACCCCACGATGCCCTTTCCCGTGTTCAGACCCCGGGCCAAGGCACTCCACGCAAGCAACTGTGCTTTTCAAAACACGAGGCAACCCAGCCAGCCAGGCACACGGCAAGCAGGGACAGCAGGCAAAGCGAGAGAAAAACGTGGAGATTTCACACGTTCAAGAACTTCTCTCGCTTGAACGGGTTCTGTTGTTGTTGTTGTTGTTGTTGTTGTTTCTCGTGTTTTCTTTCTTGCTTTTTATTATTGTCTTCTAGTTCTTCTTTACATAAGGTGTGTTTTCTTTCTTCTTCTTCTTCTTCTTCTTCTTCTTCTTCTTCTTTACGTAAGGTGTGAAGGGTTTTTTTTGTGTGTGTGTGTGTTTTTGTTCTTACTTTTATTTTATTCTTCTTTTTCTCCTTCTCCTTCTTCTTTGCGTAAGGTGTGAAGGGTTTTTTTTTTTCGTTTTGTATGTGTGTGTGTGTTTTGTTTCTTTTACTTTTACTTCCCATTCATCTACCAATCAACATTCTTTCCTACGCATGATAGACACCAGAATCCCCTCAAGCACTACTCATGACCCCATGAAACCAACATCGCGACCCCACAATCGTCTTCAACAATCAGAAACATCAAAACGACCCCACGATGCCCTTTCCCGTGTTCAGACCCCGGGCCAAGGCACTCCACGCAAGCAACTGTGCTTTCAAAACACGAGGCAACCCAGTCAGCCAGGCACACGGCAAGCAGGGACAGCAGGCAAAGCGAGAGAAAACAGTGGAGATTTCACACGTTCAAGAAGTACTCTCGCTTGAACGGGTTCTTGTTGTTGTTGTTGTTGTTGTTTTTTCTCGTGTTTTCTTTCTTGCTTTTTTATTATTGTCTTCTAGTTCTTCTTTACGTAAGGTGTGTTTTCTTTCTTTCTTTTTTTTTCTTCTTCTTCTTTACGTAAGGTGTGAAGGTTTTTTTTTTTTTTTTTCTGTGTGTGTGTGTGTGTGTTTTGTTTCTTACTTTTATTTTATTCTTCTTTTTCTCCTTCTTTTTTGCGTAAGGTGTGAAGGTTTGTTTTTTTTTTCGTTTTGTATGTGTGTGTGTGTTTTGTTTCTTTTACTTTTACTTCCCATTCATCTACCAATCAAAATTCTTTCCTACGCATGATAGACATCAAATCCCCTCAATCACTACTCATGACCCCATGAAACCAACATCGCGAACCCCACAATCGTCTTCAACAATCAGAAACATCAAAACGACCCCACGATGCCCTTTCCCGTGTTCAGACCCCGGGCCAAGGCACTCCACGCAAGCAACTGTGCTTTCAAAACACGAGGCAACCCGGTCAGCCAGGCACACGGCAAGCAGGGACAGCAGGCAAAGCGAGAGAAAACAGTGGAGATTTCACACGTTCAAGAATTACTCTCGCTTGAACGGGTTCTTGTTGTTGTTGTTGTTGTTTTTTCTCGTGTTTTCTTTCTTGCTTTTTTGTTATTGTCTTCTAGTTCTTCTTTACGTAAGGTGTGTTTTCTTTTTTTTTTCTTTTTTCTTCTTCTTCTTCTTCTTCTTTACGTAAGGTGTGAAGGTTTTTTTTTTTTTTTTCGTTTTGTGTGTGTGTGTGTTTTGTTTCTTACTTTTATTTTCTTCTTCTTCTTCTTCTCCTTCTTAAATGCGTAAGGTGAGTTTTTTTCTTGTGTGTGTGTTTTCTCTCGTTCTTTCTTTTATTTTCTTCTTCTTCTTCTCCTTTTTTGCGTAAGATGAGAAAGTTTTTTTTTCGTTATGTGTGTGTTTTTTTCTTTCTTTCTTTCTTTTATTTTCTTCTTCTCCTTCTTCTTTGTGTAAGGTAAGAATTTTCTTTTTCGTTTTGTGTGTGTGTTTTTTTTTTCTTTCTTTCTTACTTTCTTTTATTTTCTTCTTCTTCTTCTTTCCGTAAAGTGAGAAGGGATGGGGTTGGAAGGGAGGGGGGGGAGGAATGGGCTGGTGAGGAGAGGAAGGAGGTCTAGGGGAAGGAAGGACAGAGGAGAGGAAGGAGGTGGTGGGGAGGGGAGTGAAGGAGGTGGAGGAAAAGGGAGAGGTTAGGATGGAGGTGGTGGGGAGGGGAGAGGAGGGGAGGAGGGACGTGGTGGGGAGGGGAGGAGGGATGTGGTGGGAAGGGGAGGGATGAAGAAGGTGGAGAGGAGGAGAGGAAGGAGGTGAGGGGAAGAGGAGGGGGAGGAAGGAGAAAGAGAGACGGGGGGAGGAAGGGAGAGAGAGAGACGGAGGAGGAGGAAGGAGGGAGGATAAAAGTGCACAGAGAGAAAGAAAAGAAGAGGGAAAAGATGGAAATAAAAAGAAACCAGGGATTTTTATTTTCAGGTTTTGCGTTCCCTGCTTTGTCAGCTCCCAGTAACATATACATATGCAAGTATACATATATAGACATGTACTTATGTATATTTGAATATACATACATGTACATATAATACAACACAACACACACACACACACACACACACACACACACAAACACACGCACACACACACACCACACACCACACAACACACAAAACACGCACACACACACACACGCACACACACAAATACACACACACACACATACGCACGCACACACACTTTTATGTTCTCTTATCGTTGCGATTTCGAACTGAAATTGGTTCCAAAAGAAGCCAGGTTTTCTTTTTATTAAAATCAATGACCTTTTTCTTGTAATTCACTTAATGAGATTCCGTGTATTTATATAATTTTTAGTTAATTGTTGTAAGTATTTGATGACACCTACGGATATAATCAGCTGTTTTGATCACAATTATGCGATGCACACGCGCGCACACACATATTCATACACAAATGCATGCACATACGAGCGTGCACACACACACACACACACACACACACACATACATGCACAACATACACATACACACAACAGACACATACATACTCACACACACAGAAAAACAAAACACACACATACATTCACATACTTTATACCTTGATTTAAAAGTGAATAAGATTATGAAGTAGAATAAAAAAAAAAAAAAAAAACACATTGAAGACGGAAAATGTAAGTAAATATGTACATAAGTTCCATTAAGAATCATTACTTACGTACATAGATCCAGAAAAAAACGCACATATAGTGACGTACACAGATTCACGGGAGAACAGAGAATCCGTGCAAAAATAAAAGACAGAATATATATATATATATATATATTATATATATATATATATATATATATATATATATATATATATATATATATATATATATATCTCTGTGATTTTGACTAAAAAGATAATTTTGATCTGAAAACGAAATTGGGGTTCAAACACCACAAACCCATATTTTGACTTAACCATGAATGCAAATACAAACAAAAACCGAAACACACACACACACACATATACACACACAAACACATACACATAAACACACACACACACATAAACGCACACACTAACAAACACACACACGCGCGCATAAACGCACATAAACGCAAACACACACACACAAACATACAAACACACACACATAAACACACAAACACACACACACACATAAACGCACACACTAACAAACACACACGCGCGCATAAACACACATACACGCAAACACACACACACAAACATACAAACACACACACATAAACAAACAAACACACACACATAAACAAACAAACAAACAAACACACACACATTAACAAACACAAACAAAGCAAAGACAAACTAATTTCCTCTTCTCTCCCATTGTCTCAATTCCTTCCATTCAAAATTCTGCTTAATATCTTATCTCCTTATTCTTTCTTCGCTTTTGTCTTTCTTTCCTTTGCTCTTTCTCTCTCTTTGCTTATTTATTTCTTTTGTTTTGTTGCTTGCTTCTTGACTTATTTCTTCGTCTTTCTTTTCTTTTTGTGGTTTTGATTCCCGTGTTCTATAATTTCTGATTTTTTGTTATTAATCTCTCGCTATTTTGTCTGTCAGTTTATTGTAATTTTCTTGGTTCTTCTTCTTTCGTATCTGGGTCTTCCTCTTTTCTTCCTCCCTTCCATTCCTCCTTTCTTTCATTTGTCCCTTTCCATTTTTTTCTCATCTTTTCTCCCTCAGTCGCTTCTTTCTTTTTTTCTGTCTCTCCCTCTTGTCCACATTTTTATTATCGCTTTTTTTTTTTCTTCCTCTTCCTTTGCTTCGTTCTCCTGCTCCTATTCCTCCCCCTCTCCTGCTCTTTTCCCTCTATCCTCCATCCTCTCTCTCCTACCTCTCCTTCTCCCTCTCCCTCCTTCCCTCCTTTTCCCTCTCTCCCTCCACCCTCCATCCTCTCCTTCTCCCTCCATCCTTTTCCCTCTACCCTCCATCGGGCCTCCTCCCCCCCCCCTCTCTCTTCTCCTCCATCCTCCTCCACCCTCCTCCCTCCTATCCGTACCCCCTTCCCCTCCATCCTCTTCTTCTTCATCCTCTTCTTCTTCCTCTTCCTCTTCCTCCTATTCCACTCCCTCCCCCCTCTCCCCCTCTCCCCCTCCCTCTCCCCCCTCTTTCTTCTTCTTCTCCCTCTCCCTCCTACCCCACCCCTCCTCCACCCTCTTTCTTCTCCTCCATCCTCTTTCTTCTTCCTCTCCCTCTCCTTCTTCCCTCTCCCCCCTCTCCCCCTTCCCTAAATCCGACCCTATCATCCAGGAATTCAATAAGTGGGAAAGTTTGTAAGAAGCACAGAGCTAACAATACAGAATCTTTTTGGTCGACAAGCGGAGAGAAGGAGGGGAGGAGAGAAGGAGGGGAGAAGGGGGAGAGGGGGGGGGGAAAAGGGAGAAGGAGGGGAGAAGGGAGCGGGGAGGGGGGAGGGTGAATAGGGGAGAGGAGGGAGGGAGGGAGGGAGAAAGGGGGTCGACAAGCGGGAGAGAGAAGGAGGGGATGGGGGAGGGGGAGGGGGAGGGGGTGAGGGAGGAGGAGAGGAGGGGAATGAGTGAGGGAGGATGAATAGGGGAGAGGGAGAGGGAGAATGACAATACAGAATCTTTTGGTCGACAAGCGGGGAGAGAAGGAGGGGGGATGGGGGGAGAGGGAGAAGGGGAGGGGGAGGAGAAGGAGGGGGAGGGGAGAAGGGGGAAGAGTGAATAGGGGAGGAGGAGGGAGGAGGGTGAATAGGGGAGGAGGGGGGAGGGAGGGAGAAAGGGGGTCGACAAGCGGGAGAGAGAAGGAGGGGGGATGGGGGAGGGAGAAGGGAAAGGGGAGGGGAAAGGGGAGGTGAGGGGAGGGAATGAGTGAGGGGAGGAGGAGGAGGGTGAATAGGGGAAGAGAGGGAGGGAGGGGAATAAGGGAGGGGGAGGAGGGAAGGAGGGAGGGAGAAAGACGAAGGAAAGTGGGGAATGGGTAGGGAGGAAGAAAGAGGAAGCGAATGGGAAAGAAGGAGGGTGAAGGGGGCGGAGGAGGAAGGGGAATGGATAAAGAGGGGGAAGGTTGCGTGAGGGTAAGAGAGGGGGGGGGAGAGGGGTTTCCGTCTCGCATTTTGTCCCGTTAAACTTTTTTATATATTTACAAAAGCTTGTGCCTATTTGTTTTTTATCAAGGGGCATGTTTGTTAAAGAGAGACAGACAGACAGAAAGAAGGGAGGGTAGGGCAGTTGGAAGTAGAGAGGGGGGGAAGAGAGAGAGAGAGAGAGAGAGAGAGAGAGAGAGAGAGAGAGAGAGAGAGAGAGAGAGAGAGAGAGAGAGAGAGAGAGAGAGAGAGAGAGAGAGAGAGAGAGAGAGAGAGAGAGAGAGGAGAGAGAGAGAGGGGGGGGGAGAGAGGAGCGAAAGAGAAAGAGAGAGAGAGAGAGGAAAGAGAGAGAGAGAGAGAGAGAGAGAGAGAGAGAGAGAGAGAGAGAGAGAGAGAGAGAGAGAGAGAGAGAGAGAGAGAGAGAGAGAGAGAGAGAAACAGTAAAAAGGATAAACAGAAAGAAAGGAAGGAGGATAAATAGATGGAAATGAGGAAAATTTGAAAGGATGTAAGGGATGACGAAAGAGAGAGAGAGGAGAGAGAGAGAGAGAGAGAGAGAGAGAGGAGAGAGAGAGAAGAGAAAGGAGAGAAAGAGAGGGAGAGAGAGAGAGAAGAGAGGAAGAAAGAGAGAGAGAAAAAATATATATTCTAAAGTTGCCCATTTTACGCACAACCTGATGAGCTACAATCCAATAACTAAAATTCTATTTATTTTACGGATTAGGGTCCAATCATCTCCATAGCAAAAAAAAGTTTTGAAAAATAAAGATAAAAATGAAAATAAATGATAAAGATGAAGCTCGAATATACCCTTTTGTTTTTAATACTCGCATTTCTGTTTTTTCCATTTCTTCTTTGTTTTTCCTTTGTTTTCTTTCTTTTCTTTTCTTTCTTATTCTTTGTGTGTATTTTGATATCTTTTTATTCTCTGTTTCTTAGTATGGAGGGAGTTAGCAAGAG